TAATTTCTTATTTTTGCAAGGATCCTTTTAGAGGTTCTGTAATATGGTACTATAAGAATATCATAAGAAACCCAAAACGCTTATAACCTGCATTTTGCATAATGAAAAAGTGCACCATGAATTAATTTGACAACCACTAAACAGCTGCCATGAAAACACACTTCTTGTCTGATAAATTCTCATTAAATTCTTAATTTGCTATTATAGAAAACTAAATAGGGACAAAAGTCTGGAAATGCAAATATTTTTTCTATACTCTTTTTTTCCATACTTTTCCAAACCGTGTAGGAACCCTGGGGATAATACAAGACTTCTTCACCCTACAAACGGCTGTCGAAAGCAAAAATGCTACAAAATGCATTATATTTTGTAAGTGCGAGACCTGCTCGAGGAAAACAGGTACTATTTTTTTTTATTTTATTTTTAAATCGGCAACCTAATATTAGTAAGAAACAAGTATCGGATTTCATTAAATCAATAAGATGCAGGGCGGTGTAATGTATTACATCATCTGCTGATTTTGGGGTAAAATGATAACGACACTTTTTCTGACCTTGACGAGTTTTTCATCTCTCTCCACAGTTATCTCAGTGGGGTTTCCCTCTTTGGATGCCTCATCAGAATCGGCTCCCCCTGCACTTCCCAGAAGCTCTTCCTCCTCTGCGCTCACTTCCTCAATCAGGTAATCAGTGATGTTCTTTAAAATGGGGTTCTGTGCAGGGAGCTTCAAGAAATAAGAGAAATGGGGAAATAAGCCAAGCAATCACACTTAAAAGCGGTGTTAAAATAAATACATATTTGATCAGCCTAAGGTGAGAATACCTCCAGAGCATGCGTTTCTTCTCTGAGTTTGTGGCTCCAAAGCCTCTCCTTGTCATCCAGTGAATGGATCAATTTAGCAGCCAGCTTGATGTCATTACGGAGAACCTGCTTGTGCTGCGTGATTCCGTTTACGTTCCGCACACGACGTGCCAGATCTCGATTGACCCCAGGAGCCAGCTCACAGTCCCGCAGCTGCTCAGAGAGGAACAGGAGAAGAGAGTGAGCAAGACGTTTGCTACACAGTGTGGTTCCGCAAGCCAGTGATTCTAGAACTCACCCGGATGTTCTGCAGGTTCCAGCAGATCTCTTTGATGTTCACACCTCTGTCGAAGGTCACCCAACAACGCCTGAAAAACCTGAGTCACAGAGACGGAAATTTGAGCTTTTCCCCCCCATGTCTGCTTTCATGCATTAAAATGATTTAAGGAAACATTTTATGCAGGCACAAATGCAATTACTATGCAAACCTACATTTACATTTAGCAGACGCCTTTATCCAAAGCAACTTACGAATGAGGACAATGGAAGCAATCAAAACTAACAAAAGAGCAATGAT